GGTTGCATTCAAACTGATGGCACATTTTGGATCACCTGTCTGCCTACACATTGTGGATCACATGTCTGCCTACACATTGTGGATCACATGTCTGCCTACACATTGCCTGAGTGGAGAAAACATTTTAGTATGCATGTTCCAATGCTTCAATTTATCTTTAATGATGACTTAGTAATTTAATGCTTTGATACATTCAAAATAAGCAGTTTAACAAATTGTGAGTAGCTTCTGTTCAACTGCTTATTTTGAAGGGAAGCAGTCTGCATATCAATCAGTTAGAAAGGCCTGCATGTGAAATGAGAACACTTTGAAATGATGTTTAGCATTACCATGATTTAGTCTCACTCTTGCAGACTGTGGGTTTGAGAGGCATGTCGGAGGGAGTAATGTGGGAGATGCACTTATGATTACAGGCTCATTGTTGCTGTCATTCCAGCTTCAAGTGGAATGTTGATGGGAAGGATGCTTCTGTAATCAGGTTCACATACTCCTTTTGATTCACTACATTTTCTCCTATCTCAGGTTCTGGCAGCCATGAAGACCCTCTGCGTTGAGCTGGGAGGATCTGCAGCCGTGGCCCCGTGTTCAGCGTGAGCTCCGCAGCGATGCCTGCCCCCCCCGGGGAGGAATGGTTCACTCCACTGCTGCTCCCCCCCCAGAGGCCGGGGACATTACCAGTCTCTGCTGCCTGGTTACGGGGCTGCTGAAGCTCCCGGAGAGCACGTCGATGGAGAACGTCTCCATGGGCTCCCGCTCCCCCCCCGCCCCGCTCACACCCACAGCGGGAGCCCCGGAGAGCCTGCAGGGCGTGGGCCTCCCTCTGCAGGTGTTCTTCTGCCTGGTCATGGCGGCCATCCTGCTGCTGGCCCTGCTGGGGAACGTGGTGGTGTGCCTGATGGTGTACCAGAGGTCGGCCATGCGCTCTGCCATCAACATCCTGCTGGCCAGCTTGGCCTTCGCCGACATGATGCTGGCCATCCTCAACATGCCCTTCACTCTGGTTACCGTGGTGACCACCCAGTGGGTTTTCGGGGACGTTTTCTGTCGAGTGTCCGCCATGCTCTTCTGGTTCTTTGTGATGGAGGGCGTGGCTATACTGCTTATAATAAGCATAGACAGGTTTCTAATTATTGTCCAGAAGCAGGATAAGCTGAGCCCTCAGAGAGCCAAGGTGCTCATCGTGGTCACATGGGGGCTCTCCTTCATCGTCGCCTTCCCTCTGGCGGTCGGTTCCCCTCCCCTGCACGTCCCCCCCAGGGCCCCTCAGTGTGTGTTTGGCTACAGTGTGGAGCCTGGGTACCTCACCTACGTGCTGATCCTGATGCTGGTCTTCTTCTTCCTGCCTTTCATGGTCATGCTGTACACATTCATGGGGATCCTGAACACCATCCGCCACAACGCCATCCGCATCCACAGCAACCCGGACAGCATCTGCCTGAGCCAGGCCAGCAAACTGGGCCTGCTGAGCCTGCAGAGGCCCTTCCAGATGAACATCGACATAAGCTTCAAGACGCGTGCCTTCACCACCATCCTCATCCTCTTCTCTGTGTTCACTGTGTGCTGGGCCCCCTTCACTGCCTACAGTCTGGTAGCTACCTTCAGCGATGGCTTCTACCACAAAGACAGCTTCTTTCAAATCAGCACATGGGTCCTGTGGTTGTGCTACCTTAAGTCAGCCCTCAACCCTCTTATTTACTACTGGCGGATCAAGAAGTTCCGTGACGCCTGCCTGGATCTGATGCCCAAGTACTTCAAGTTTCTTCCTCAGCTGCCAGGCAACACCAAGAGGAGGATCCAGCCCAGCGCCGTGTACGTGTGCGGAGAGCATCGTGCCGTGGTCTGAAGGAAACCATCACACATCTTTACACACTGTAGCGTGTTCTGTTTGGAGGTTCACTTCTCTTAGCATGGGGCAGAATGATTGCTCTGTTTGTGATCTGTGGATACAGGGAGCAGACAGAAAATGAAAAGCAATCCAGGAGGAGTGTTTGTTTTAAGGGTTATCAGAAACATGACCCCTGTCCTCTGTGGTTTATGATATAAAGAGTTTTTTTACTGGAAGAGGGCAGAGTTTTATTTAAAAGATTCTGATACATTTCTGAAGTTTCACCGCCGAAACAACAATATGTTCTTACCTGGAAGAAAGTAAATATACTATTTTACACCTTTTTATTTTTTTATTTGATCAGTGAAGCCAAACTCCTCAGATTTGACATAACTGTAAGGTTGGTAGAAAGCCATAATATTAACTTTAAATAAAAATATATTAGGTTCAACTTAATATTATTGCTTTCAACTAACCTAATACAGTTATGTGACATTTGTTTACATAATACATTTAATTAAAGTCAACGGACACATCTGTCTTTTATTTGTTCACTGTAGACAAACAACCATATGTGTCATAGTAGAGATGGACACATAGGGCCTGGTACCAATTACAGAGACATTATTTGTATTCAATTCCTACATGTTATATTCGGCCTTAACAATCATCACCATGCACAATTTTTGCCCAAAGAATTGACAAAATTATTATCAACTATCCAATTAACAAGAATAATGGACTGTTTAAATATTTGATGGCATCTTTTGATACTTGTCGGGTTTTAATACTTGGTTTTCCCGACACATTGCCCTCGGCACAGAATGTATGTTGACGTACTGCCGGGCTGTGGAGCACAACGCAGCGCAGCTAAAGAGTTCTGCTGGACCCACTTCCTGTCGCTCTGATGCTGCCTCACCAAACACATTGGCCTCTGAGGGGATACTATGTCATTCTGGGCCACAAAAGGAATATTTCAAGTGAAGTAGAGGACTGAAGGAAAATAATGAAACTCTTGGATGCACTGAATTGCACATACTGTGTTAAAATACAGATGGTGAATTTGTCTTTTATGATTGTTCTGAGAAGACAGGCGCTGCTGGGTTTGACTTGACCGCAAGTCTTTTCTTGTCACTTGAATCACGACTCATGGAGAGCACAGTGTGTGTTTAGC